TGCCGAAACTTGAGAACTACCAAGGTTGCAGCGGTTGCAACTGTGACTGGGCCCTGGTGCTCCACCACTGTCCTGAAATCATTAGTCTGTATTGTTTTAGAAAAACTGTCACATGACACTAAATGTATCAGTACTGGTATCAGTGAGCACTCGGACAAGTTTCAGGTACTTGAAAATATGGTATTGGTGCATCCCTAATGTTGGTCTGTTGGTTCCAGACACTGAAAGGAGTGCAGGAGAAACACCTATACAAAGCACTGTGTGTTCAGACACCTTTCTATTGGAACCAGCATTAACTTTTTTGTAATTTGAGTTACAGTAGCTCTTCTATTGGATCAGACTACACGGGCCAGCCTTCATTCCCCACGTGCATCAATGAACCTTGGCTGACAATGACCCTGTTGCCGGTTCACCGGTTATCCTTTTGGAAGGTCTTGCGACCACTGCAGACCGGGAACATCCCACAAGAGCTGCAGTTTTGGAGTTGCTCTGACCCAGTCATCCAGACATCACAATTTGTCCCTTGTCAAAGTCACTCAAATCCTTATGCTTGCCCTTTTTTTCTGCTTCCAACACATCAATTTCAGGGACAAAATGTTCACTTGCTGCCTAATATATCCCACCCACTTCCAGGTGCCAATGTAAGGAGAAAATCAATGTTATTCGCTTAACTTCCCAGTGATCATAATGTTATGGCTGATCGGTGTATATATAGTGCACAATAATAGAAGTACAAAAAGAGCAGCTATTTACTTGGCTGCCTACTGGAGTTCTTTCTTCTTAGAATAATACAGAGACTATGATTTACCACTCCTCTTATCTAAGTGTCAGTCTATGCATCAGATCCATAATTTACTTATTATAACACAATCTCTATATTGCCTATACCATAACTGAATTTGTCTCAGCAGCCTTCAGCAAGGATGCTGATCACACATACTAATATAATGATAGCGGCTAGAGGGAATGCTTGCAAATCCGTATATGAAATACTATCATATGACACAGAAAGCACATACAAATATAAACTTACATCAAAAAGTTATTTGCGGTTGTTAAAATGATAACCCAAAATGTGTACTCACTGACACTGCTGTATATTTCCCCTTTAACTGAGCAGAGGGGGATTTAATCAAGTCGCTAAAAATTGTTGTCAGGCCTAAACCCTGCACAGATCACATCAGGCTCAACAAGTCAAGCAAAAGCGGTGTGCAAGAGATGTGAACAGAATGATAATAACATTGATAAACATATTTCAAGCAATATCATTGATCACACACAAAGGTCATCACTATATCTGTCAGATCCCTAATTACATTTTGTCTCCCATATTCCCAAATGCAAAAAGTGTTGAAATGTCTGGCTATGTAAGGCATGATAAATGATACTGTCATATGCCGCTTGCTGGAATAAAGGCAAGCGAGATAGTGTATGGCTTAAAATATCTTCCATGGTTTCCACTGGATTCTGTATCCCACATAAAAAAAAACACCACATTCACTACATAAATAATTTACTCTGGAAATAGTTCTGCAGAAAGTGAAATAGAAAACATAATGGATATATGAGGCCATTTCCGTGCACAGAGAAATGTTGCATTAACTTACAATTATAACCTGTATTTTTATTAGTCATGTGACACAGGCCTGGGCTTACCTGCTGGCCATTCCGACATATGTCAAAGTAGCAAGGTAATTGTTATCCTGGGGAGAACCAAGCAGGGACATGCGGTCAAGGGAGGCACGTGAGGCAGAGCCTCACCTAGTATTATGGATGGTGATACTATTACCAAGTCTGAAGCTGACAGTTTTTTCTCCATTCAGACCGGCTTCTTTCAGGTTACACAGAAGGGAAAGCCTCCCCGCTGTGTAACCTGTCATGGACGGAGTGCTGCCTGTTAATTACAGGCGGCGCAGCATCCAGCTTTTGACAGCTAAGTTAGGTTACACAGCAGCGGGCTTCCCCACTGCTTGTGTAACCTAACTTAGTGAGGCAAGAGCTGCAGAAGCTTCTACTTGCTGTTGTAGGCTTGAGCTCTGTGGATGGTTTGGACCAATGGCAAAGCGCCATTGGTTCAAGCTGTCCAATCAATAAAAACAGAAAAAAAACAGTGAGGACATCTATCTCGATGCCTCACCGGTGATGAGCAGGTGAGGGACAGGGAGACCCCTCCCTGTCTCCTCCCTTCCCTATCCTCCCTCCTCGACACAGCTTAGTGACTGCGCTGGGGGCGGGACATGGGCAGGATAAGCACTGTTGATCCAAACAGTGTACAAAGCTCAAAAAAATATATATTTATAAGGGTATTTTAGGTATGTAAGTCTTTGGGGTCCAGATGGATGTTGCCTTAAGTGGTGCTACAAACACACATATTGCTAGTACTTGTTTATAAACAGAGCAGAAAGCAACTCTTTTTAAAAAAATGCCCTCGCTCCATAGAGGTTAGTGGGTTTCTACCGGGCTCAAAACTAACTCCCATTAGGCACTTCAAGACTCTGACAACCACAGGCATGACTTTTAGAGGCAGATGCATTATGGTATTTGTTGTTTCACCACAGCTGGAAGGCCAAAGTTTGGCTACACCTGCCCTAGAACATTAGTTGTACAGAAAATACACCCTTTCGGCCAATGAGGGCGTTTGCTGGAAGAGCATTGACATCCTAATGGTTATATTGTCTCAATTTACCATATTTTACAAAAATAGCAAATACTAGAGCATCCTATACACATTGCTGCCTTGGCCCCCTTGATACACAAACATGGGCTAATGTAACAAAATATTTACCCCTGCAAGCCCACTTGCCCTATCTGTGTCTTTTCTGAAACAGTGTGGTTTCCTAATGTATTTGGACCAGAGACAAATGTTTTTATTACAATTTTAGAATAAGAATAAGCTCAGTTTAAACTAGCTCCCTTTTGAAGCCTGGAGCGGGGCAGCCCTCCTAAACAAAGGGGCACATGGTTGAGTGGTGTGATAGGAGGGAAATAGTGGGGGAGGAGTGTAGAGTTTAGCTAAGGGACATAGTAACATGCCAGAAAGCGAGAAGCACAGTAGGGCAACAAGGGACAGTTGTGGAGGAAGGTTGTCCCACCCTCCCTCCCTTCCTTTTTGTTTCCCGGGGTAGAACCAGTTAAGTTTTAAGTTGGGTTTGTAGTTTTGGGGGTCATTTTGGAACCCAGGGTTTTTTGTCACAGCAATGGTGGATCCTTGATAGTGCCAAAAGAACAATTAAATGCATTTGTAAGGTTATATTTGGGAGCGGTTGTTGTATGCATCTGTCACATAAACTCTGATTGAATTTCATGGTAGTTGAAGAAGTGAGGACTACCATATTATTGCAAGGTGTAGCCTGGAGCAGGGCAGCCCTTTTAAACAAAAGAGCTCGTAACTGGGTGGGGTAATGGGAAGGAAATGGTGGGGAAGGAGTAGAAGGAGTATAGGGTTCAGCCCAGGGACCTGGTGACATGCCAGAAAGGGAGGAACACAGTAGGGCAACATGGGACAACAATTGAGGAGGAAGATTCTCCCTCCCTCCCCTCTTTTTTCTTTCCTGGGGTAGATCCTGTTAAGTTTTAATTTGGGTTTGTGGTTTTAGGGGTCGTTTTAGAATCCAGATTTTTTTTTTGCCACAGCGATGGTGGATACTTAATGGTGCCAAAAGAAGAATGGAATTCATTTGTACGGTTATATTTGCAAACAGTGGTTGAATGTACCTGTAACATAAACTATATATGAATTTCATGGAAGCAGGAAGAAGAGAGGATTCCTATAGTATTATAAGGTGTGCAATGGCTGGTGGAGGTTATGGGTGACCAATGGATCATAATTTGGGTGGCTGTCAAGGACCTTTACTATGAGGTTTTGGTAATTTAGGATGTTAATAGTTACATAGTTACTTAGTATTTGAGGTTGAACAAAGACACAGGTCCATCAAGTTCAACCTTTGTGTGTCTGTGTGTGATTGTGCATGTGTATGTGTGTACATGAGTTCCTGTGTGATCTTTAATCAAATATTTTAAGAGTACCTGTACCCTTTGTATTTATTATGTTAACATTTGGACATAGTAACTCAATTCTTAGTATTAAAGCCGTGGCTGAGAAATATTTTTTGTTTATTTGCTCAGGGTGGAATATTGCTCAGGGGTGGTAGGAACAGAGTGGTCAGTTTTGGTACCCAATTTTCTTTTAGTATTCAGCCCTATCTGAGTCATGTCCTTCTAAAAATCAGCTTTCACTTATAATATATTAATATACTGTATCTCTTGCTTTTTTGCACTGTTTGGTATGCAGAGGTCTACACATGCCATGAGTATGTCTGGTCTCATTATGGGTCCATTTGTGATTGACGTGTTTTGGATTCTGGAGACCTCAGCAGTAGCAAAGTTTGCAGTATATTACTCCCTGCTCGGAGCTGATCACAGGTCTCTAGTCTGGAACTGCAAGCAGAAGAACTAGTACAGGAAGTGTATGAACACAACAACTCCGTAAACTTGTACTGTTCACAAAATAAGAACTTTGCAATAAATCAGACCGAAGCCGTAGTTTCTGATGGCACTCAAAAAAGAGAAATTGCTCAATACTCCAAAGTCATCCAAACTCCTTTTTTTTATCCATCGTCGATCAATTCCCTTCACTCATCAATATTCAGAATTTCTGTGTTACTCACTGTTCATTCTCTCCTGCTCACATTCATACTTATTTTATCCATGCCTCATCAGTCCTTCTTATCATTCATCACTCTTCAATCTCCTGATCACTCAGTGCCGATATTTCATTAGCCTATGCTAGCTGCAAGTTATTTATCAATTGTTCACATCCCTCAAAAATCACCATACATCAATAGCTGCTGTATATTCACTTTTCACCCATAGTTTTATTCTGAGAAATGATATTGTCCGAGCTTCTTAAGTGATGATGTTCTCCTAATCCTGATAAAAGATGATGTCTTAATGTGAGCACTGTGCTAAGTTGACAGGTAATACATACAAATAGTACTGACCTTAAATCTAATAACAGTTGGAAGACTTGTTACAGAACCGGCCCAGGCAGCATAGCGCTTCTGATTTTCTGCAGGTTTGTTCAAGGAGAAAAAGCTGAGGGCAGTGACAAATTTTGGCTCCCCGCCTGCCACCACCGCCTGACCTTCAATCTCTTGGTCGTTGGAACCTTTATAACGACAAGCAACAATGTCACTTCACTTGCATGTCAGTTAGCTGGGTGTCAGTGAGCTGTTAGTTAGATCCAAGTTTTTACTGCCCCCTGATTAACCACTTAAAGTAGAAGTACTGAGAGAGTACGCTGTACTCATCCCAATAGTTGAGCCGGTGTGTGGCACTGCAGCTGTCACATGATGACTCTATAGCTTGAGAACTGAGCGATCACAAACCAATGATCACTCAGCTCATGACTTTCCCCAGTCACTGCTGTCATGTGAGGCCTCCTGAAAGCCAGTAAGGGCTTGTTCACACCAAATGCAGACCAGATCTGCCTGAGTTTCTGCACACCCAGTGCAATGTGTTATACTGCCACGTTTGTGATGCGTTCCAGGCCGTTTTTGGTTTAAAAAAAAGTTAAACTTTTTTTTTGTTTAAAATGGGCTTTCAGTGCGTTCCAGGGTGTTTACGTGCGTTTGTGATGCGTTTGCAAGCGTTTCAGAGCAGGTAAAATAGGGCTTGCTGCAGTTTTTTTGACATGCTCTGGAACTAAACGCTGCAGTGTCAACTAGAGCCCAAAATACCATTGGAATACATTGGACGTAGTTTTGATCCGGTCTGTAATTACTCTGCTCTGCATCTGCTCTGCTCCTTGAACGTGCTTGGTGTGAACAAGCCCTAAGCCCGCTGTGATCCACTGCAGATTGCTTTTCAGAGGGTGGTAAAGTCTGGTACCTGTGTATATTTAGCCTCAGGGTCTTGTCATCCAGGCAAATAACCGCTAAACTGTGAGGCAAGCCGTGTGATACAATCCATCAGCTATTGATATGCAGCTTATTGTGGCTTATTGCTTTCATCTTGTGTTGCTTTCCCTTTGCAGGGTCCTATGGAGTTAGCCTTGTGTGTTCTAGTAAGCTGTATGTGTCTCTACACAGGCTCAGCAAGGCAAGTCACTCTGAGCTCCCTGCCTCCCTCTCCTTCCTTCTCTCTTCTCCAAGCTCGTAGATGAACAGTTGCTGGAGACTGTGCTGTCTGTGACTTGTGATCTTGTAAAGAACAGGAAGTCCAGGGAAGCAGAGCTGAGAGAGTTTGAGCAGTTTGGAAACATAATGACTGTAAGTGTTTGGGCAAAAATGTAAGAAATACTTTCCTTGTCAATGTATATTTGTTTGATCTGGATTCATTATTTGGGAAAAAAGACTAAGCATTTTATACTACTTTAAACTAACAGCACAATAAAACATAAACCAAAGGCAGTAGGGGTGATTAATGGGTTCAGGGAGAAAAATGGAGGTGGCTGGGATGTGATGTCATCGGCAAATTACTACTCTACAATATTGGAACTCCACAATGAGAAGTGCTTTATGTGGGTGGGGTTAGGAACACCCGAGATGGACTTTTATAACTGTAGGAAGGTGTTCTGAAATCCCAAGATAAACCGGCAACAATGTTATTTGAATCAATGGGGTGGCCCTGAGCACTACAGGTATGTCTGAATTACAGAACATCAGGCAGTCAGAATATTTTATTTTGTGGATCCCAGTATAACTTAACTGTACGGCTTTTTATAAAGGCAGAAAAATAAGTGCTGTGAATACATATCCCTTCACTCTGAGCCATAAATCCACATTGGGAGAATGTATCTATCACTATGGGGGCTGCTATATAAACATTCTGTCCAGCATGAAGCTGAGAGATGTCATTATCACCACTAGATGGAGTCAAGAAGCATAAGAATTTGCTATGTTTCTCGATTCCATCTCGTGGCAGGAATGCTGTGCAAACGTCATTCGCACATCTATACACTGGATAGAACATTTATACATCAAGCTGGTGGGAAAAGTGGAACATTTGCTGCTGGGAGAAGACGTTTTTGTCTGTGCGCCCTGTACTTGTGATAAATGTTTCTCGAAAAACAGCCCATTCAAGTGATATAGAAAAATAGCAACTAAGATCCAAGAATTTTTACATAATTTTACATATTACGCACCAGATGCAGATTTTATCACTTCAACTGTTCTTTTGCACTCTGATGAAGAATAACTAAAGAAAAGAAAACCTCCTTTGGATGAAGTACATTTACTGATATCACTCATTGTCACACCTGTGGAAAAAGGAAACACAGAGGAGAAGTCAGTAAAAAAACCTAAAATCAGACAAAAAAAACCCCCCAGAAACACCTTGATGTCCTTTGTGGATGTCACAATCAAATATGATTAACCTTATCAACTGTCCTTGCAGACAATTCAAATGTCAATTAAAAACTGACTGTGTATCTGTGGTCAGATAACAACAGACATGTTGTTTCCATCACCTAAACAGGAAGTCAGGGGAAATCTCCCCCATGGGGGACACAGACAGTACTATAATCCCTACTGTATCAGGGATTACCTTTAATTAAACATTTTTTATAAAGTCACTCCAACCTCACTAGCTCCATACATGTTCTGGGTCCCCTGACTCACAATACTGAAAGCACATGCAACCAGGCAACTAGCATCTTCAGCAAGGGCAGCCTACAGATAACCCTCAGTACAGGTTCCTTTTTATATGAATAATAAGGTAAGCAATCATTTATACCATTTTGGGTCATTTTTTCAGTCTCCATGTAGAATCTAAATTCATATTCTCCTCCCAAAGATCCAGACTGCAGAAAATGCGTTCCGTAATTATCTATAAGTTTTCTGTAAGCGCTGTATTCATAAACCGAGGGGAGGTTGAAAAGTTCTTTCCAGAACGGTTCGGCAAGGTTTAAAAATTCCGTATTGGTATTGATGAACTGTGCCACTTCCACATAATTCCTGAGGACCAGGTACTGGTAACTCTGTCGAGAATAAGCACGCATAAAATGACAACACGTCTCTCATCGGAAAAATCATTTTGGAAAGCAGCAATTTAAGAAATTGTAATTTGCTATTTTCTGAAAACGTAAAAACTCTCCTCTGTTCTCCTCTGCTATGCAAGGGGGCCGGGGAGTTCATGTTTACCATAATTAACCCTGCCTGTATTTGATTTCAGCACTCTCTGTCCTAACACAGGGTTAAAGATCTGGAAGCTCTGTATGTTAATAAGGGGAAGCTATATGTGGCCCCAGTCTTTGTCTTGGGGGGGACACTCACTTTGAATTTGTTAAGAATAGCTTGCAGTCTGCCCAAACACCTTCTCCAAAAACATCTAAAAGGTAAGAAATATTTGTTTTTAATTGTTTATAGATATGTTGTTTGAATAGGAACACATAAAAAAACATATAGAGTTGCAGTTCCTCAAAGTCCACTGCAAGTTGACCATATAAGACAACTGTGACTGAGGATTTGGTGACCGCCCAGATCACTGACGTCGCTGATTGCCAGAAGCTCAGTGGGACGTCAGCCACAGGGTCCCGCTCAGCTCCCCGGCAACCGATGACGTCATTAAGCTGGACAGAGTGTCACAGGTCGCTAAGAGCTCTTAGCAATCTGGGACGCTGTGGCATCCACTCTGCCCAATGAGGCAAACTCCTCATGCTACCTCATTATAGGGACGGCCCTGGCTATACCGCTCACCCTGTTACCTGTAACTGATTCACAACAGCAATACTTCTGCAGTGAGAATGTTACACTTTAGACTTAAGCAGGAACTTTATTCAAACAGTATCTATTAAGAGCCTTGTATTTTTCTGAAACACTCATTTAAAAATTGGGGCAGGCATGGAATGAATGTCACGTTCACTGACCTGATTGGTCTGTGGAATCATGTGGTACTCGTCACCTAAACAGGAAGTCAGGGGAAATCTCCCCCCATGGAACTTTATTCAAACAGTATCTATTAAGAGCCTTGTATTTTTCTGAAACACTCATTTAAAAATTGGGGCAGGCATGGAATGAATGTCACGTTCACTGACCTGATTGGTCTGTGGAATCATGTGGTACTCGTCACCTAAACAGGAAGTCAGGGGAAATCTCCCCCCATGGAACTTTATTCAAACAGTATCTATTAAGAGCCTTGTATTTTTCTGAAACACTCATTTAAAAATTGGGGCAGGCATGGAATGAATGTCACGTTCACTGACCTGATTGGTCTGTGGAATCATGTGGTACTCGTCACCTAAACAGGAAGTCAGGGGAAATCTCCCCCCATGGGGACACAAACAGTATTATAACTCTGCATATATTAGGGATTGTTTTAAATTAAACTACACCCAAATATATGGTTAAAATTGCTAATATGTAGAGAAAATGGTCAAAACAAACTGTAGTTCTCCTGTGTAGCCATTGTTCTCCAAAAATAAATGTATTTTCTCACAAAGCATAAAAAATTAAATAAAAATAAATAAATATATAATCCTGACCAAGGTTCTGGACTTTCCTCACTCTTTCTAGAAAATGTGTTTTATTGTTGCCTGTGCCCCTGTTGGGGTCATTTTTCCCCACTTCCCTTGTCACCTTTTCTTTTGTTAAGCTAAACTGACTGCTGTGATCTTCGTTTCTTCCATAGTTGGATCTCGTGTGGGACTCGGTCGTTTTTAAATAGGACCAGCTGCTGTTATAAAAGTCGTAAGTAAAATCATTTTTTGCTTCCACCTGTCAAAGACAAAAAACAAGAAGAGTTACAAAATATAATGGAAAGCACAAATAATGAAAAAGAGCGCCTGAACTATGATCTGAAAAAAGAACTACAGGAACCTATAAAACTTACTCTTGTAGTGGGGCCAGTGGCATCACAAGGGGGGTGCGGCCCGCACCCGGGTGACACCATTGGAGGGGTGACACCAAAATGACTGACAGTCATTTTGGTGTCACCCCCTCTGAAATGTCAGGCACTCGGTCATTGACCAAGAGCCCGACAGTTGCAGGAGAGAGGAGGGGACACGACGGCATACCTTATCCCGCCGGATGAACATCCCCTCCTCTCTCTGCCGGCGTCCATCACCAAGATGGCCACAGGCAGGTTCACAAAGATGGTCGCACATGCGCAATGACGTCATCGCGTATGCGCGTGGTGACTGTGCGATGACATCATTGCGCCCTGCAATGCCAGAGTTAAGTGCTGGCTTTGTGTAGGGGGCTTATATAAAAGATATACTTACCTAATCCTTGGTTCCGCGCTGGTCAGTGATCACCTCTCTTCCCCTCCTTCATCGACCAGCATTGGATGTGATAACATCAATGGTCCTTGCTCTGCCAGGGCCCAGGGGAGAAGAAGCTGTGAGGAGAAGTCTAGAAATCCAGCCAGACCAAGGATCAGATCAGTAAATCTCCTTTATTTGAGCCTCCAAGACAATATAAACTTTCAGGGCTACCCCCGCACTATGCGGGTTAAGTGCCCCGTTTGTTTAAGAGGCTCAAATCAAGCATATTTTCTCATCTGATCCTCAGTCCGATTGGGCTGCTAGACTGGTCCCCACAGCCTCTTCTCCCCTGCTCAGAGGGGCAGATGCAATAGCCAGTCTGTTATTGGCTACTGCAATTTGAAATAGCTAATAGCAGTCTGGCTATTGCTCCCGCCCACTGCCTACTGTTTCCTTTCACCTGCCGGCTGATAAATGGAGCCAAGGAGAAGGTTGGGGGTGGGGGGAGGGGGGGTGCCACTGGGAGGTTGCTTGAGAATTACTATTAACTTTTCAGCAACCACAAACTACAGCAATCCATCACCTATCGATCCCCGTGGGTGCCAGATAAATGTTAGTTTACTGTACCTGTTGTTCCTGGCAGGAAGCTTGTCAGCTGATAGGTGCCTGTGCTGTTCTGTTACCAGTTATCTTTGTTCCCGGGTTTCTATGTGTACTACAGAACATCTCCCCCCGCCCCCACATTATGTAGAAGAGGAAGGGGAAGTGTTCTGTAGTCCTAACACGCTTCCTGTCCAAGGGTGATAATCCAATTCCTACATAGATACGTTATGGAAGTATTCTTTTCAGTAGGTGAAAATCAAGTTAAAAAAATTGCACTTCCTAGGACTGGTAAGTTGCAATACATTACAGTTTTGTTGTTGGGTGTAGATAGGATTACGACTTCACTTTAAATTTTTGACACAGGAAAATGTAGCCCGAAATATAAAATTTAAGAATGCTACAAAACAACGTAATATAATATATGTATTGATATATACAGCATATACAGTACATATACAAACATACAGGCAGTCCCCGGGTTACGAACAAGATAGGGACTGTAGGTTTGTTCTTAAGTTGAATTTGTATGTAAGTTGGAACAGGTAAATTTTTTAGGTGTAACTCCAGCCCAAAAAATAAATGTTTTCGTTTTGGATAGCATAGGGAAGGGTTTACCCCCTGTAACATTTGTTTTGCTGTCCTCACAGTGGCTCTAATCCCAAATCATACTAACCAAAAATAAAAAAATAAACTTGCATGGAGTTCTACTTTCAATGCAACTTGGACAGATGTTTGTACAACTTCCTGTAATGTACAGTACCAGACCTGGAAGAGGAGGCGGGCGCTCCTCGTCTGCACGTCTAACAACTTCCTGTAATGTACAGGAGGTACAGGACTACGAACCAGACCCACTCCTCGTCTGCACGTCTAACAAATTCCTGTAATGTACAGGAGGTACAGGACTACGAACCAGACCCACTCCCCGTCTGCACGTCTAACAAATTCCTGTAATGTGCAGGAGGTACAGGACTACGAACCAGACCCACTCCCCGTCTGCGCGTCTAACAAATTCCTGTAATGTACCGGAGGTACAGGACTATGAACCAGACCCACTCCCCGTCTGCACGTCTAAAAAATTCCTGTAATGTACAGGAGGTACAGGACTACGAACCAGACCCACTCCCCGTCTGCGCGTCTAACACATTCCTGTAATGTACAGGAGGTACAGGACTACGAACCAGACCCACTCCCCGTCTGCGCGTCTAACACATTCCTGTAATGTACAGGAGGTACAGGACTACGAACCAGACCCACTCCCCGTCTGCGCGTCTAACACATTCCTGTAATGTACAGGAGGTACAGGACTACGAACCAGACCCACTCCCCGTCTGCGCGTCTAACACATTCCTGTAATGTACAGGAGGTACAGGACTACGAACCAGACCCACTCCCCGTCTGCGCGTCTAACACATTCCTGTAATGTACAGGAGGTACAGGACTACGAACCAGACCCACTCCCCGTCTGCGCGTCTAACACATTCCTGTAATGTACAGGAGGTACAGGACTACGAACCAGACCCACTCCCCGTCTGCGCGTCTAACACATTCCTGTAATGTACAGGAGGTACAGGACTACGAACCAGACCCACTCCCCGTCTGCGCGTCTAACACATTCCTGTAATGTACAGGAGGTACAGGACTACGAACCAGACCCACTCCCCGTCTGCGCGTCTAACAACTTCCTGTAATGTACAGGAGGTACAGGACTACGAACGTAGTCGCGAGCACGGTAGCATTACAACTAGTGGAACAGCCTGGGACCTCTGTTTGTGAGTACATAACTTGGATATTCAAAACTCGGGGACTGCCTGTATACATACACACATTTTAACATGTATGTTAAAAAAAGCAATGTTCATTGCATGTTCTTCTGGCGGAATATATAACTAAGCTAAGAAGTTCATTTTGTTACACATTTATAAAAATTACTACTTCCCAAAGGACTTACCTTAAAGGTGTAGGTAAGGACATTTTCACTCAGCCTAAAGTATTCTCTGTTATCACTGCTGTAGACTTTCCTGCACTTCCCTCCAAAACTCTTTGTGTGAATGACGCTGCTCGTTTTGCGTGTTTGTGTGACAATATCATATCTGAAAGAGGTTTTGTAGAAAGGAGAAAAACATAAGAAAGCTGTAATTATGCACATAAAGTAAAGACGTTTGTGTCCAGGCAGCTACAGAGTGTTCAGTCCCTGCCTTCACAAAGTTCCACTTGATGCTACTCAGTTTGGACCATCAAAAGGCGTTTATTTAGCTTTAGTTAGCGTGAAGAAGCATATGAATGTCTTTCAGGTTGTTATTATGTCACTCTATGCTGCCTTGAAAAAGGGACCATGTAGATCCTCAAATTATCTCTGAATTGGTGCTGACGCTGTCCTTCCTTCTGGAGGGTGGCTACTTTTGTTCCCCATGGTCCTTGTGTGTGTTGTAGTCACCGCTCCAAGCTCACTCCTGTGATGGACTACAATCTCAATACAAATTAGTAAACTAAACATGAGATTGTAATCTATCACAGGAGCAAGCTTGGAGTGGTGACTATAACACACACAAGGACCATGGGGAACAAAAGTAGCCACCCTCCAGAAGGAAGGACAGTGTCAGCACCAATTCAGAGATGATTTGAGGATCTACAGCCGAGTGATACACAAATAAGATACAGTACTGATAATAGTTAAGCTACTTGAATGTACTTTAAGATTTAACTCCTGGGTTTAGTGTCACTTTAAAGAGAAACAGGAGGTGGGATTAAATCTACAGTGTAGCCAAAGAGAACCTGCCAGATAGGGATGCACCAATACCAATACTAGTATCGGTGGCGATACAGAGTATTTGGGCGAGTACCAAATGCTCCGATACCTTCCCCGATACCGGAACCTCCGATCAGAGGGAGATTTCCTGACCAGCAGTGCCGTGAGGGAACGTGAAGCTGGCTTCCCGGCCAATCATGAAGCTGGACGGCAGGTAATGGCGGACGACTGATTGCCCAGGAAGCCGGCTCCATAACTTGCGGAAGTACCAGAATCAGTCCTCGGTATCGGTGAGTACCGAAAGATAAATATCAGTACTTGTACTCTATACCAAAAAAACGGTATCGGTGCATCCCTACTGTCAGATATATACCACTACCTGTGCCTCCACTGGGGACACACTATTTCTTTGTCTCATTCTCTATTGTCACTAGGACAGAAAGTGATGTAAAAAACAAGATTTCACAATTGTCACCATAACAATAATAGAGGGGAAATCCTCCAATGGGGACACCCATTCCATGCCTATAGGAGATCACCCCTCACTTTGTAGAGCTTTACTCTCACTTCCTGCAGTGTATTATTAATGACAGGATGTGAGGGCGAGATCACCTCATACAACAAGAAAAAACTGATGGGTATTACCCTAATTAAGCTGAACTTAAAAAAAATGGAGTTATACATACACTTTAAGGTATTTAGATTACAGTGCCTGTTTTAATGTGTAGAGGTCACTCAGTAACATTGTGCTAAAGTAAGAATAAAACATTATTTTTCTTACCCTGTCCCTGTAAGTTCTGTATTTGGAGCATATTTGTCAGTATCGCAAACCTTCTGACGCACTTCACAGTTAGCTTCATCGGAGCTATCTTGCTCACAGTCATGATCTCCATTGCATACCAGAGCCTTGCTAATGCACTGACCTTAAAACCAATAAATATTACATTATGTATTACATAGAAAATCCTTCAATCCTTATTCTCTTCACGCCACAAAGCGTCTGTGCTTTTCCCAAAATCAATCTGTAAAACTCATCATCTGCCCAAAAAATGCAATAAAGCTGAGCTGAACTCTCAGCCATTGCTATCTTTCAATGACCATCGAAAAATATTATTTGTGCCTAGGTGGTGCCCCAAGAAATCTACCTTCTGTCTGGAATTCTTCCTGAAAAATTGAAGTGTACTTCCTGTGCCTAGGTACTCCAGTGCCTTCCGCCTCATAGCTGTTCATTTGCAGTGTGAGATCATCTAAGGCACTCTAACCTGCGACTGCAATTTTCACTGGATGATTTCACTACTGTGCTTCACCCCTTGAAGTCATGATTCGTTCACTTATAGGGAACATGTAAAAGTGTTAATTTTGCCTAAGTAGTAACATGAAAGATTTACTGTTTGTTTTGAATTTATCCTGAAAAACAGCAATGCACTTTTTCTGCCTACAGCCTCTTACCTGTATATCTGCAGTGTGAGATTTAAGGCACTGCTGCCTGGAGTGAGATCTGGTGATGTCAATACTGTGCTGCTAACCGTTCTCCTTGCCGGAGAGGAAGCTGTTCCTGAGGACCTGCAGTGCAAGGATCTCCCTGCTTCTTCTTCATCTATTCTGTGAGCCCGCACTGCCTCCATCTCTCTTGTTGCTTCTTAAATATTTCACCATCAGACTACTAGTCATCAGGGAGGCAGCTCTACATGAATAAGCAAAGCCCTGCCTTTAACAGGATGGCTGCCTGCATACAGAGACTCAGTGTGTAACAAAGCATGGTAAGTCAGTAATGGGGAAAAGCTCAGCTGATGGAAGCCCCCATAATATTATTGACTAGCCCTTTGTCCTCTGCCTGAATTTTTTTGTCCACAGGTTCCAGAGTTCAGCTCCTCTTTAAAGCCCATTTCTACCTTTGAAAGTGATTAGCAGTTATTGTGGTGATGCAGAGGTACAGTGATGATGTATATGTGTGTGCATTTTCATGACTCACATTGCTGGCTTTTTTAATTTATTTTTGTGGACTTTTTAGTAGGCCTGAGTCCTACAAATCGAAGATTTTTTTTTTCTCCATGGCACACTCAGTCTGAAACTGGGGTCTTGCAAACAAGCTGACCCAGTCCCCGTGAGTCATTATCACCAGATCACTGCACACCACCACAATATATCATGTGTTTGTGGATTTGCCAGATGAGGAACAAGGATCTCTTCACAACTGGCTATTTAGAAGCTCTTTACTATGGAGCTTGAAAACTACTAGCAGTGCATGTAAAAGGCAGGCTCTCATGGAGGATCAGGGAGGTGAGAGAACATGTGAAAGGTAAATACTAATTGCTTAAAATACCTTCAGTAAAATATGGGAAAAGTTTAGGTTTGTTTTACAAAGGGAACATGTTTACATATTCATGGATCTATGTACCTAGTGGGCTGTGTAGCCTTCAGTTACATGTGCATGGACTATCCTGCTTTACTATATGTAAGCCATGGCATTTTTTTGTGCAATGATTCAATAGAGAAAATTACCTGATGAACATCGAAATCTGTCTCCACATCCGTCCTCTATAGGGCAACCCCTGGTGGGAACACAAGGACGTGTTTCATAAGGGCTTCCACTGCACACTATGCCTCCAAACTGGGCATAAACTTCAATTTTTCGGCTATGAGTCTGCACAGAAATAAACAGAAAAATATGCAGACTTTTACTTTTTAGTACATATTACAAATACAAGTCTGCAATTCATCTAAATCAGGATACATAGCATATTTGCTGATTAGCTACAATCTATTATTCATCTTCCGTGCCTTTTTGTCCAACCAGCTAAGGCCTCACATGGACATGCATTGCTATATAGCATGAACATCCATGCGGAAACCTGGGCCCAGAAGAGGCAACTACTACATGTAGCCGCCTGCAGCCATCTGTACAACTCAATGACAGGGCACGGCTGCATGCGGCCCCAATCTTGCACGACCGTACAGGTATGGATGCACGCCCTTGGATGCAGACAGCACCTGTATGGAAGTGCAAGTTTAGGTCAGCGTGTAGCCGCATGTAGCCCCGTCCTGTCATTGAGTTATACAGGCGTCTGCACACGTGCACATGTGTATGAGGACTAAACCAACTAAATCCATATAGAATAGATGCCAGTAACCCTATGTCCTGTTCGGATTTGTTTCTGACCAAGTCAATAGGGATTCCAGTACTAAACTCTCTCTGAGCCTACTGTAGCCAAACGCAAACAGTACGGCTTTAAGGGAGGTTGCACAGTGGAGAGTCATGTGACAACAAGTTGCGATCCTGGTTAGAATCTATCTGGGAGGGATTACTTAGTGCACATAACCCTAAAAAATGACTTTTGGTCTGTAATATATACTGTTGAAAGTGTTGTGTTATATCAACATCAATAAGTGCACAAAATACCTGTTGATCATGTCAGAAATCCAGAGCTGTCCCATGTCTTGTGCATGCTTCTTGTGTTATCTCAAAGAGGACCTCCCATCATTATCTTGGGACTAAAGAAAGATTAGTCTCTATGTTGTGGACAGTAGTTTATGGGGAGGGCTGACACCACTCAACACAACAGTACTTTCACTTTTTGGACCATGTTTCAGGTTATACCCATATTCAGGGAGTAACCTGAAACATGTTCGCATCAGCAGGAAGAGTCTGCAGGAGCCACAGCATTGCACCTGTGGTCTACTGTTTGTGATTGCAATGCTTTACTGGCTCCATTTTTTCTATTATAAAGAAGTGTGCATCTATTACTTTTTTCCAAAAAGTGGACTTTGCTATCAAGAGCTCAGTGCATTTTTGGCAGTTCAACAGGTATTTTTCCGTGCTAGCAGGCAGGGGCGGACTGGGCCGGGGGGCAGGGTGGCAATTGCCCCCCGGATACATCGCGTGCCGGTTTAAGTAGTAACCAGCACATGCTGTATGCATATTCTGACAGCGTGGGAGATGGGAGGCTGCGATGTCGGTGGATCCCGGGATCAGGTGAGTATTAAAAAAGAAAAAATTGTTTATTTTAGAGCTGCAACCATTATTCGATTACGTCGATTAAAATCGACGATGGAAAACGTTGTCAGCGTTTTCCATCGTCGATTCGTCGGCTAAAATGTAAATTTCCTGTCCGCCGCTGTCCGACACCCACGCC